TGTAATCCCTCCAGCGTGTTCTGGGTCTGCCCAGGAGCCTGCTACCAGTGGGATGTGCCTGAAACACCTCTAACGCCCAGGAGACATCCTGATCAGATGCCCAGACCACCTCAACTGACCCCTTTCGACATGAAGGTGCAGCGGCTCTACTCTGAGCTCCCTTACCCTATCTCTAAGGCTGAGCCCAGCCACCCTTCTGAGGGAACTCATTTCGGCCGATTGTATCTGTGACCTCATTCTTTCAGTCATTACCCAGAGCTCACGACCACAGCATGAGCTAAAGCTGTCAACTGCAATCATAAGCAGTGCTATTGATCTCAAGCACACACAGCTGTCAGTCAGGATGTCAAACCCCCTTGTTATAGCATCAGATAATCAATTAAAATCAAATGTGAACACTTGAAAATACATCAGCAAGATAAAAACCACCCAAATTGACAGAAACCATCTTTGGGAAAAATTTGTTTTTGACATGTACTGTAACAAAAATGTAAAATTAACACTGTTATTTTTACTCCCATCCCAAGACTTTTTCATTCAATCAGGCCGGTTAGATGTACTGCCAAATTCAGGCAAATGACGTTGGAGATAGTGAAATGAACATTCACATTCATGAGCTGCAGCTCTATTGAACATTACTGTAGTCAGCATGTCAATGGCATGTTCCCACAAAACTTGCGACATCTGTGGCAACTGTGTTGAGTGATCAAACTGCATATCTTGGAGTGTCATTTTATTGTGACCATCCTAAGGCACATCTGTGTAGTAATGATTGTGTTAAATCAGAATCTCAGCACACCACTCCTGTCAGATGGATGGATTATCTTGGAAAAGGAGAAGTGCTCACTTACACAGATGTTCACAAATATATCTTTTGAGTACATGAAAAAAGCCTTAGATCTTTAACCCTGTAAAATAAATAAATAAATTACAAAGGGAGCAAAAACGTTAACATTTTTGTTCAGTATAGTGTGGCCCATGTCCCGGCTGCTAACATGGACGGGGTGGGGGTTATGACTTGTACTGCAGCCAGCCACCAGGGGGTGATTGAGAGCTTTTGGCTTCCCTTTTTGGAAGCTGTCATGTGCCATCTTTCATTATACAGTCTAGATTCAGTATAGTCACTGTAATGACTCTTACTCACATTAGGCACATTTCTGTAGTGAATTAAATAGTAAAAAAAAAAAAAAAAACCTTTCCCCTTTTTTACTTGGGACCCCCTTGATCTCCCTCAAGGGCCCCTGAGAGTCCCCAAACCCTTGGTTGAGAACCGCTGTTTTATAGGATAAAAGTACTTTTCCTGGCTCACAATTAGACACGGTGATATATCTTTTTGATGTAAAAGCTTTAAACAGCCTGGAGCCACTTAGCTTTCCATATATTGCACCTGCAGCAACAGCAAAGTCTCTTGATGCATCCGTGGTGACAGATTACTCTTTGAAGTGTACCTTTATGGGAGTTCAGAAGCTCAAAAAAGTTGACAAAGTGATGCACCAGCCCAGAATCATCAGAAATGCAGAATGCCATACAATCCAGTGTGATGGCTGAGAGGACACCTGACTATTCAACTAATTGAAACTAGAATTTCTATTCAGTTCTGAGTGCACTCTAATCTTGAGAGGCTCGATCCCTTTGAACTTTATTTTCGCTTGTAACTTTTGAGTGTCATTTGTTGGCTCAGTGGAAGAGTTGAAATTTTATCCTTGCTGTTAGTATAACTACTATTCCCTAAGAGGCACAGAGATTCAGTAAAAAGGATGTAAATTGGAGTGGAGCAGCCTGGTACTGTATGTCACACTCTGCCACGACTCAAGAAAAACTTTTAATGAATGTCACTGCAAGAGAAAAGGTATGGGAAGGGCTTTCTCTGTGTAATAATAATACTACAAAGCACACTGTGCTGTGGGCGCCGGTGCTGTACAGCATTCAAACATATAAAAGAAACATATGTAGACTCTGAATGAGAAGGAAAGTAGAGGATGAAGTGTAATGGTGCCTTTTCTTCCGCGCAGTCAGAGAACAGCCGGGGGAGCTGAACGCAGCCCCACTGACCTGGTTGAATCAAAGAGAAGGGTAAGAGGCGAGACCAAAAAAAAAGGGAAAGAAAGGGAGAGAGCAAGAGATGGGAAGTGTCTCATTTATACAGCACTGCAATTTGGGTCGATGGATCGCTCCAGTAGCCGTGAGGGGCTCTTTTTTGCTCAATGCAATCTATACCCACAATCTAACAATCAAATGTGGTGCCAATAGAAGTGGTCCTGCCCCGGCAGTGAGCTCTCTGTGACTGCTGGTGTATTTGACCGAGTGCCAGCTTTAGTTTTTATACCTCATTAATTCACAGGAGCGATTGACTGAGGAAACCGTTTCCTCTCGATCATAAATCAACCCACACTCCTGCGTGCGTACACACATGCGCATACACACAACAGCAAAACACGAACACACTAGGGGGCGAATCCCAAGGCTTAGGTAATGATTTAATCAGTCACTGACAGAAAGTACAGTGATATTGTGATTACTAATTTCCACATGACCCCTGTGTGGGTAACTCCTGTGTGTATGTGGGACTTGCAATTTTGCATTATAATACAGTGAAGGTCTTGAGCGCTCCATATTCATGGATAAATTTCCTTTTTAAAATAACATTCTCTGCGTTTTTTTCCTTCAAGTTCTGTAATTGCTTTGGGGCTTTCTGTCATGTGATTTTTTCGTGCATTTTCCCCTTTAGACTTTGTGAGTGGTTTCAGGGTAATGCTCATGAACTGGAGAGAGGATGAAGCCAAAAAATGAAGTGGGTTGATTTTGTATCATTCCATGATTATCAGTAGTGGAGGACTGAGAAGTTGCAGCACATTTGAGTATCTCTAAATTAAAGTCTGGGATAAGAACTCAGCAGTAGTGTGTGTCTATGTGTGTTTGTGTGTGTGTGTGTGTGTGTGTGTGTGTGGCGGAGAGAGGGAGAGGTAGAGATAGAGAGGTTTGATGCTGTAACAGCTGCTAATTATTGCTGCTCTATATTTCACACAGTCTGTTTGATCTCCCGTCCTGTGGAGAGAGATAGGGATTCTCTGTCTCTGTTTCTCCCAAACTCACACATTTTGTACATACACAGACACACACACGCACGCACACACACACTCAAGCTCAGGGGTCACGAGGAGGAGAAAGAGGAATTGTGCTCTAATTACTGAATCTCTGCAGGGGTTGACTTATATTTCTCGCCAGCACCTCAGGACTGGGAGTTTACATTTTGTGTCTTGTTTTTGTGTCTGTATTTATGTCACCGCTCTCTGTAGCCCCCCTGTGTGCTGGGCTGTGTTCACTGATATCACGGAGGGCAAATCAATCCAATCTCTCAAAGCACTCTGGGTAGTCCAAGTCCATAGACCATCTGGATGCCGCTCTGTTCTCTTCTGTGTTCTGCTCCCTGAGTGCCGGCCGCTGCAGTGATCAACTGTTTGGCAAGCAGCTCTAATACATCCGTGCCTCCCCCAATCACCAGGCATGGATGCATAGCAACAGTTACTAACCACCATAACCTTTGGCAAAACATGCAAGGAAGAAGCTCATCGACGTTTCATTAATGATTCAAAAAGATGTTTTTTTTCTTTTATTACTTCCCATGATCTCCAAAACACAACATGCACTTCAAAACTGTCTTAGACTTCAGACATCCACAGTGAAGTGAACCAGGTCAAAGTGGACATAATAATGAAATGTGGTCAAAGTAATGTGCTTCTTTGGACATAATGATGTAGCTGTTTGGCAATAAAAATGACTAATAGCTCACTATTAAAGCAAAGTATGGTACTTTTTAAGGGCTGGCATCTAAGTCTGTGACTTACAGAACAAAAACACTCTCAGACGGATCCCTCTATATTTTAGTTTAAATTGTTACACTTGGTAGATAAACCTATTAAATGCCATCATTACCTTTTTCTTCAGACACTCCAGGATAGTAGTTTTCAACCTTGTGAGATGATTACCAGAAGGAAAAACAGAAATTTAAATTCTTCTACACATTTTTTCCTCTGATCCTTTCTTTTAAGTGAAATAGTGTTTAGTTTTAGCTTCTGTGATATGTAAAACTTATTCCAATTAAAGTGCCTGATAAAGGAAAACTCCTTTGCAACTACCATGCTCATGATCATTAGCAGAGGTGGGACCAAGTCATTGTTTTGCCAGTAACAAATAAGTCTCAAGTCCCACGTCCTACACTTTGAGTTTCGAGTCCTAAACATCTCATAATGCACTCTTTAAAAAATTTAATGCCATTTATTTTAACAAAAGATTATTTGCATATTAAATTTACAAAATTCTAGAGTGGGTTTTAAAATATGTAGTTTGTTGGAAGTTGTTCCGTCTCCAGTTGTAATTTTTGACCCGCACATTTGCATACTGCAATTTGTTTTTTGGTGACCACTGATTAGTTTTTGTACGTAATCAAAATTACCTTCATAATCATGTTTCTCCACTGATGCTCAGTAATGTCATGTTAGTTCTCTCCTGAAACTTGATTGGATGCTATTAGATTGATTCAAACAAAGTGGATCTGGTGAATGAAGTGTCAGCTTGCTGGGAATGAATAGCATTAATGTTGATTCAGGGAATGAAGTGAAATGAAGTGATTTGTAGCACACTTTTTAATCAACATACTTTTTAATTTGTGTGCTTTGAGAAAGTCATCACAGATTTTCAATTTAAAAGGCTCAAGTCCAAGTAGAGTTGTGAGTCTTTTTGATTTTGTCAAGACTAAGGTCATCAAATTTGTGACTCGAGTCCTAACTTCCGGTTGATACACATGCACCCAGCATAGCTTCCAGTTAAATGGTCACCAGCAAGAATGGTTTGCAACTCTATGCGCTTTTAAAGCAATTCTGGGCTTCACACCTTTGAAATGTAGCAACCCCCACAGTATCAATTCTTTATGTGGAATGCGTTGCAACATGTTGCACGATCAACATGCATCAGACAGAATAAGAAAAAAGCATTACAGCCTGTTTATTTTTTTCAGCCAAGTTTTAATGTATCAGGACCAATTCATTCATTGCTGTCTGAACAACCCATGGGTTAAATGCCTCCTGGAAAAAAAATGATCTTATGTCACATATAAATATGAAAAGCTGTTAAGTGTTTGTTATCATAGATGCCACTGAGTGTGGAATAAGCATTGCACCACTGGTCGAGGTTAAATCCACCTTTTATTTATTGTTTCCCATGATTCTAATGTTATTACTCACTGTCAGAATATTTACACTATAGAGACAAAACCGGGCTTTACATGTGTCAGATATGGAAATTAGTTGTTGTCCTTCCTACTGTGTATGTGTGTGTCACTTCAGAATTACCTCTATCTTATACACACACAAATACAGTAAACATCAAGGTTAAAATGGCTGTGCTATGCCCCCCGGTCCCTGGAACGTTATTTATGTTGTTGAAAGTCACACTCTCACTCAGATAACTTGTATGAAATGGAGATAAGGGGAGAGTATTATCACTCTTTCTTGCCCCTCTGTCCCTGGCATGAAGGATACTTCAAAAGGCAGCTGGTCTGTCTGTGGTTCAGAGGGAAAGAGAGAGGATGACACAAGCCCAGCTTGTCTTTGAATAGCAGGTGCACCTTTCCCTTTATTCTGGGCCTGAATGAGGAATGATGGAAAAAGCAAAGGATCAAAGTCGGTTTTCTCAATGTCTGCTGCAACACAGCAGAGGCTAGATGGAGAAACAAATTTTCATTTGAAAACAGTCAGTAGCTGGGCTGTTTGTGTGTATGCATGTGTGCGTGCGTGTAGGTGTGTGTATGTGTGTGAGGGCATATGCGAATAAGAGTTGGAGCTGATGCTAGTAAAAGCACTGACTCATCGCCATTTCAAATAGCAGGCTTTTGTCCAAACTAAAAATTCCCTCTCTTTCTCTCACTAGACTGTGTTGCCAAGGAAGATTAATAAACATGGCAGTCACTCTGTGAAAATCACAACGCCTTCTGTTGAAACCTCACTGGCCACGCTCTGTCCATGAAAGACTGTGGGTTCAGCGGTTGAAGGGACACCGGAGAGAGTGGGGCAAGTGGTGTCGCGTGAAAAGCAGGGGACTGGTGGAGGAGAGGGATGGGATGATGGGACAGCAGGATGGAGGGAAACAGGGATGATATGGAGAAGGGAGAGAGGTGGAGGTGGTGAGGGAGGGAGGGGTGGAGAGGGGGCAGGGGGTGAGGGAGCTGAGCTGGATGAGGGTGGATGGCGGGAGAGGTAGATGAGGTGGAGGAGGATGAGGAGGAGGGGGGCACGGAGAGGGCTGCGTGTTGTAAAATGATATGATGGAGGCTGGAGAGAGGGGGGGACGGTGGAAGAGGAGGGAGGTTTGGGACTCTCATAGCCATGGGTTGAGTAAAGTTCTCTTGTTGGGTCACGTGTGGAAGCGGGAGACTGACCTGGAGGGTGTGCTGTGCTTGTGTCTGCATTGTGTCTGTGTGAAGTGACTGGGTCTGAGGCTGTGAAGGGTTGTGCAGGGGTGCAGATGTGTATTGTTCCTCTGAAGTCCCACAGTTTTCTGTCTGTGCCGTGTGTGTGTAATTTGTCTCTGTGTGTATGTCTGCGCTGTCTTGCGTCTGTTCCAGGACTTTCTGCATGTGCTCTCTGGCCTGCTCTTGCAGGAGACGATATTTGTCCATCTCCTCAGCGGTAAAGCTGATTGGCGGAGCTGTCTCTCCACCTTTCTGCTTGTCATCACTGTTAAACTGTGACAAGCAGAGATTTGGCGTGCTGCAGGGGGTTGACTCAACTGTTTCCAGATGACACTTTTGACTGTTGACATGTACTCCAGGATCCACTCCACTGCCCTTAGCCTCCTCTTCCTCCTCTCCCTCCTTCTCCTGACTCTTCTCCTGCAGCCCTTTTGTTCTCCTAGCCTTTCTCTGGATTGCAGGTAGTTTCCCTATGAGAGGGAGAAGCAACATCCTGGCTGGTTTCTGTGGCTTACCAGGGGATAGTCCTGGTAGAGCTGTGCCTGACCTGCTTGTATTGACAAGAGTGGACGGTTCATGGCCAAGATCAGACTGTGACTTGGGCTCCTTAAGCTGAGAAGGGCTTGTGTCACAATGGTGTGTGTTGAGGCCTGGGGCTGTGGGAGCAAGAGAGGATCTGCGTGGCGAGGAATGAGAGAGAGAGCAAGAGGTAAGGCTGGATGAAGTGGACATGGGGCTGCTCTGCTTCTTTGCCTCCTGTGGGGCTTCAGATGAGAGTCCTGGAGCTCCTGAGGATGTCCTGCTGGAGTTCATTGTCAACCCATCCACTGTGACTCCTGAGCAGGTACTGCTCCTGCTCCACTCCCAGCTGAGCTCCGACATGCTGGTGCTGCTGCAGGGGCTGCAGGAGCGCGGGCTGTGGCATCTGCTGGCCCGTGTATTGATCACACTCTGAGGGCTGTATGTCTGCCTACTTGTCCACCACTCAGGGCTGGAGAAGTGTCTCGAGCTTGAGCGTCTGGTACCTGCACATTTCCACACACAGCCCGGGCTGTCTCTGCTGTCCGCCCCTGTCCTGGAGCCTGACGTTGATCTATGTGTCCCCCTGTCTTCGCAGCTGTCGCTGCTGCCCCACGTCCATCTGTCCACACTGCACCTGTCCCAGTCTACATCTTCTGTGCTAAGATGTCTGCCTCCCTTGCCCCAGCTGCCAGGACTGGGGCTAAATCTTGCCACCCGATCCCACTCACCTGCTCTGTTTCTCGATCTCCACCCACTCCTTGACCTGCCCTCCTCACTACCTCTAGGACAGCTCCCCCTCATCCACTCCCACTGTTCTGGATCTGACATCAGGCCCCTGTCTCTACAACCTGAATGCCCTCCCATTTTCCTGCCCCTCTCTGTCTCCTCCCAGACTTCATGATGCCTCGAACTCTTCCTCTTACTATGAATGAATTTCCTGTCCCTGTGGAGGAGTTTTCTCTTTCTCGCCGGGCTGCAACCACAGCTGTTGTCAGGGTAACAGCAGTCAATGAAACTCCTGGGGTTGCTATGGTGACCCCTTTCCCAAAACAGCTTTGAGTTACATCCTGGTGAGAAGGAGTGTAATGAGAAGTGAGACCGCCAGGGAAAAGTCACCGCATCTCCGTCTCGCTTTCCCTCCCCCTCGTTGTGTCTGTCTGCTGTGTGTCTGGCGAGCTGGGAGTCGGCACTGCAGTGTTCTGCCTGCTCTCTGTCTGGCTGTGACTGGGATTCAGTGCTGTGGCTCCTGTGAGGCCTCCTCTTCCTGACAGAGACAGATACTGGCTCAGCCTCACATCTCCCCAGGAGACAGCTGCTCCCTGCTCTCTGCACCCTCCTCCTCCTCTTCGTTTCCCCCGTCTCCCTTTGCCTCCTTTTCTTCCCCCAGCTCCCTCCAGCTTCTCCACTCCTCTCTCTGCCAGTGGAGACTGTAGAGACAACACTCCTCACTTTGCACCTTGCTGATTGGCGCTTGTTTGAACCTTTTTCCTTCTTCCTCTTTCCCAGCTTGCGTTTCTTTGTGCTGGCTTTCCTCTTTTTGTGTGACACTTCTGAGACACCCACGTACGGCTGCGGAGCGCTGGCACACTTGCACATTGTCTCACTCCCACACTCACACCTGGACGGGCTGATGCACATCCTCTGTGTGCCAGGCTGGGTGACAGACTCTAATTTACAGCTCAGGGCTATGATGGCTCTCTCCCTGATCCCTCTTGCACCCCCTAATCTGCCTCCCAGAGGATTCTGGGAGTTTGTGTCAGAGCTGTCATTCTGAGCTAGGTCAAATGGATGGGAAGCTGCCCTAACACAATTCTCCATACTTAGCATGCATCTACCTCTTTCTGCTCTTGTTTCTGACAATGAAAGGTTTTTGTTCTTCAGGAACAGGTGTGCTTCCGTCTCCGCGTCGATATGTTGCTCTGCCTTGAAATTATCCTTAGCTTTTTCCTGTCTGTGTGCTTTCAGCTCTTGTCTTGTCTGTCTTTGTAAACAGGAAGGAGTGTCTGGTGTAAGAATAGCTGACACACGTAGATCTGATTCATCTGAGAGAGCACGCAACTGATTTTGTTGTGACTCCCGCGGATTCTCTGTGAGTTGTTCTGGTTCTTGTTGGTTCAAGAAGAGTGGATTGCAACTGTAGGAGATTTGTGGCTGAGACTTGGTGAACTTGAGCAAACTGACGGGCCATCTCAGACGGGTAGAGCCATCTTTACCCAGCACACACATATACTGACTTCCCTCCCTCCCCCCCTCTGTTTCTTGCTTTCTCTCTGACTCGCTATCTGTGTGTTCAGTGTCTATGTGGGCCCTTGCAAGTGCTGTGCTCCATAGGGCCTCCTGGGTCTGTGATTGCAAGAACAGTGAATCATGGCTCTGATTATCAGGTGCTACTGTGGAAATAGTAGAGTGTGCTTTCACTAGGTCTCTTTTTTCGATCTCTTGCTCCTCATGGGCAGCCTCTCTGGAGATCGGCCCCGTGTCGCTCAGTCCAACACTGTCAGATCTGAACTCATGCTTTTCACTCTCACTGTGTTTCCCCTCATCTGTTGCCCCAATTTCCCTGTCAATGTCTTCAAGCATCCCCTTTATCCTTTCTTTCATTTGTTCCCTCTTCTCTCTTTCCTCCTCCTCCAGGTCAGAGAAAACGGAGGCGGAAGGCTCGAGCCTGGGCCCCCTGCGTGAGAAGCAGAAAGACACCCCAAGCCTGCCTCCCACTCTCCCCCGCCCAGGAAGAGGCAGCTGGGGATACAAGCCCAACCAAGACTGGGGGTTCACTGCAGGAGGGTCTGTATCGGATGCCGGATGTGTCATTATTGGGGACTCTGCTAGAGCAGCAGCTGGGGGTATCTGAGGAGGAGATTGGCATGGATCTTCTGCCTGATGGCTGAGACGGGCTGTCCTGTGTTGCGTAGGAGGGGTTCTCTGGGTATGATTGAAAGGTTCAGGTTTGTCCTCAGGGCTGCGGTCTCTTTGGTCCACATCTCTGTCTTGCTGCTGTCTCACAGCCCTGACTGTACTCCTTAGTCCAGATGTCCTTCCTGTGGCTCTGCAACAGAAAGTGAAATATTCCTGATTTTAGTTTGGCTTCTTTTACATTTAAAGGAATACTGTGTAAGATTTAGGGGGATTTAGTGACACCTAGTGGTGAGGATTGCAGATTGCAACCAGCTGAAACTTCTCCCGGTTAGAATTCCATCAGTGTTCAGTTCGTTTTTTTCAGTTCAATTCAACGGGCTTTATTGGCATGACATTTAACATGTGTTGCAAATGCACAAATACAATTAAGAGGCAGTGATTAAAGTTCATTAAAAATTCAATACAATTCAATAAAAGTGTGTTTTTACTGTTAGCAGAATTATCAGCAGAGGTCTCCTCTTCTCCAAAACAAACAGACCAGGTGATTTAAACCAGTAAAAACACTAATCACAACAGTTTCATGCTACAAATCAGTGTTTTTCCGGCACTGTTTGGCATGTCAGAGACGGGCTGCTTGCCCAGCACCAGCTAATGTGTTCACACCTCTTTTCTCTGATAACTTAAGAGCCAGATCTAGAAGAGGTTTTTACTGGGAGCCAAATCATCCGCAGAGGTCTCTTCCTCTCCAAAACAAACAGACCCGTTGAAACACTGAATAAAGCAGTTTCACGTTAAAATCATAATTTTCCCTCGGCTCTCATCGTGGAGGGTCTTCTTACTGAGGTGGCCAATGTGAAAACACTAATGGCCCTATCTAGAGCAAGTATTTGGTTTGTCCGTTCTGGGCTACTGTAGAAACATGGCGGTGCAACATGGCAATCTTCACAGACAAGGACCTGCTCCCTTTGTAGATATAAATGGTTCATTCTAAGGTAACGAAAACAGGAATCTTATTTTCAGTTGATTCTACACAACTGAAAACATCTTATTATACTGTACTATTTTTGCCAATATATGCCCCTAAATCCTACACACTGGACCTTTAAATAACTATACAGGTATATATAGTGCATGGATATAACATTAAAAGGTAATTATAGATAAAGGTTAATTAATAATGCATTAGTATGCTATTGAGAAAAAAGAAAAACGACATAATGAAAGAAACAAAGAATAAATCAGAGGCTTGGCAGTCATAGTGATGTCGTTCACATATTATTGCCTGATTATAGGAAAACACATTTAATTGCAGAGGGAATAGGTGCAATCAAGTTGATTATTACGTGATGTATTTTTTTTATTGGTTGTTTTGATTACTTTAGGTATGCAAACCCAGGGGCAAGTTATCAACGTGTTTCACTTCGACTTCGACTTTCCACTTTTCATTTTTCTCTAAAACTTTCATCCCCTCCTCTTACAAATCATCTTCTCTCAGAGCGCTGGCAAGACTGTGTCTTCATGTAATATTTACTTCACCTGTGGCCTGTCTAGGACAACTGGGTGCTCTAACATCTGTGGATACATCCATCAAATCTAAGAAACGTTGACTGGATGTGACGCACTCTAACCCTCCTGGACTCCTGCCCCTGGTCTCATTACACTCACACACCACCGCACAGACACACACAAATACACACGCCTCCTACCCACCGCTGGGTTTCCTGTTGCAGCTGTGCGAGCTGGTGCAGACGCCTGAGAGCCTTCTCCTGTTTGCGCTGGTCCTTCCATGATTTCGAGGCCACGTTGCGAGCAAACTCTCTGTGCTTGAGTTCCTTCAGCCTCTGCAGGAAATGAAAATTAAGGATGATAGAGGGAGGGACAGAAAAAAATGTATGTGGAGGGCACGGGGTAGCAGGCGGCACAAGAGTAGGACAGAGAGAAGAGAGGAGAGAGTGAGGGGATTAGTTTTCGGAAGCTCTCTGCAGGCAGCTGTCTTTCAAACCGTACACATCAGTCAGCAGCGTTTGCAGATGTTCTCCTCCAAAGCTCATGTCCAATTAACTCCATTCAGCCTGGAAGAAAGCGTCTTCCCTCCAACACACAGCTTGAGAGCAAACATAACCCAACTGGTGAATAGCAGATTACAGACGCAGCTGAGATGAGTGACATGAGTGATTTAATGATGATGATGCTCTTGCCATTGAAATCTTGAAAATGTTCAGCCCTTGTCAGTCATCACAGCTTGTTTTGAGAGACCTTCTGATCCAATGACATCTTCTTTTGAGCTGGAGTGCACCAAAGGCAATGATTTGCTGACGCTGAAATTGCACATCACCAAACACAAAGGCACGGCCACTTATCATTGACAAAGTAACCATCTGAGACAATGTAAAGGCCAAAGGTTTCACTTGACAAAATGCTAGACCAGTGTAAGTAAGTAGTAACTCTAGCACATCATAGTGTGAGTAGTAATTTAATTTTGAACAAACTGGTGGGTCTTCACTTGAATCATAGTGCATGTAAGGAAAAACAATTAGTTCAATTTTGTGTGTGTTTTGTGCAAGTGTGCATGAGTGTATTTCATCTGAAACTATGTGTCTATAGCGATAGGTGTGCCAGTCCTCTCAGGGAAACAATGATTCATGCCTCTTGCTCCGGTTTCCTTTTCTGACACACTTTAATCCCTCCTTTATCCATGCTTGGCAGGTGTGTGTGTGTGTCTGTGTGTGCATGTGCATGTTGGTGTGTTTCTATTTGTCTGTGCATGTGTGTCTAAAGACTGAGGAGAGAGTAAGAAGTTTGGAAATAGCTGCAGAATCGTGCACCACTATCCCCCCTATCTCCTGTCTTATTCTCTATGGCGTCCCAGTATATTTCAGCTACCTCAGTGTGCAATCCATCCATGACTTATGGATTCAGGATGTGTTGTTTATTTTATATATTTGTGAATTCATCCTGTAGTATAAGTTGCAACAGGATTACACCACTCTCACTTTTAGATTATGTTACGCTATTATCCACCCATACAGTATGTATCGCACACGGCACGCACACGTGCACTCATCAGATTAGCCCCTCAGACATCAGATTTATTTATACACTCACTCTCTTTCACACCCAGATCTTATGCTTGAGCTGACAGTCGTCAGGTTAATCTCTGCTGAGTCTTACACAATCGGGTGTCTTTTTACATTATTGCTTGATGCTTAACATCCCACTGTCAGCTCACTGAAAGCAGCATTAAGTATGTGCCAGCGGAGCAGCACTTGTGGGTTTGTGTCTCTTAAACATACGTGTCTTACAGTATAGGTGCTAGAGCATTGCAGATGTGTGTAAGATCACGTGCGTGTTTGTTAGTGTGCGGTAAGGAGCTTTGAGGGGCTTTGATGCCAAACTCATTCTATGGGAAATATTAATCATGTTCAAGCAGAGAGGCATACATAATGAACGACGGCGGACAGAGCCAGGAAAGAGGAGGAAGAAGGGGGGAAGAAAAGATCAGAGTCGTTGTACTGTAGCTGTCCATGGCACTGACTGAGAGAGAGAGAGCAGTCTATAATAGATGGAATATATGAAGATGAATTCTTCCTTCTTCCGCTTGCATTTGCACTCTGCCAGGTTATTGTTCTCTCTTAAAAACAGGTCCCACTGCAGGCAAACCTGTCGCTAAATTTAGAGCCAAACAAAATATTGCACGCAGAACCATTTTCACTGAGCACACAGGGCCAAGATATTTCCGTTTCCCACTTTAAAGCGGATACTTTTGTCTTCAAAGATGATGTCATGTCCCCAACAGCGGGAAGTGATATTACTCTTGCTCTCCAACATGCCAGTCTAGCTATGTGCTGTGAAGCTCAATCTGTCTGTCAAAGCCCCGATCAATATTCCTTTAGATGTGTTAAGGAGTGCTCAGGCTGAGGCAACTATGGATGAGTCTGAGCTGATTCATATCCACTAGGGCCTCAGAATGAGGGATGATGTATTCTTAGGTAGCATGTGAGGGGCCATGCTAATGGGCTGATTGCTCTTTTATTTAAAAGGGAGCGTAATTCTCTTGTAATGAGCAATTTCTGTAATCAGCAGTAAATGCTGATAAAGCGCTGCATTCAGACATGTTTATCCCTGAATCGATGACAAGGAAAGGAGACAGAGCAAACGCAATCAGCTTCCATTCTCCAAAGCCAATACTCCTGCAGGGAAGCTGTCTTCAGCTAGAATTTCATCTGTTGTCTGCTCAGTAGGCAGAGTGTGCATGCATGCCTGTATGTGTGTGTGTGTGTGTTCCCACAGTGCCAGTGGCTACTGTCAGCTCAGTGCCTCATGCAGCTCGTTTCATGTGCCTGCCGCTGGCTAAAACAAAGCATTAACATTGGCCTGCAGTTGCTTCGATTCATTTTCAAAGAACAATGACAGTGAAGGAACTGTCTTATTTTATGTTTATTTCATGTTGCACAGTGTGGGCGTTCAGAAGTGGGAAGTGGCTTGGCTCGGTTGAGAGACTGCCTGTGTTTGTGGACGAGTGTGTACATGGGTAAGTGCATGTCTGTATGTTTTTGTATGTGAGTGTATGCCTTGGCATGACAACAGATAGCTGTAGGAGAATGTGCTATCAGCAGAACCTTCAGCTTGTTAGTCCAGAGTGGAGGTTGCGTATGAAAATGGATGTGAAAGCAGAACGCAGGAGGAAACCTGCTGCCGGGCCTTTTCCTAATGGTCCATTGGCCTCATCTTGTCCAAACCGGAATAATAGAATCATACTTGAGCTATGACTAATAGCTCCATGTTTTATTTGGAACCGAATATTTATTTTTCTTCTGGAGGAAATACAAATTGAAGAATAAAGTGAATTTTGTAGCAGCATCCTTATGTACTAGATACATACAAATCAACTGCTCTAAATTTTGAACTAGAAAAAAAGCGAGAGAAACTTACATCATTATGAAACTGGGATGTGGAGATTAAGTAAAACTGAAATACTGTGCACATTCTGAGTTTTCTTTTCTTTCAGTTTTTCAGTCAGGTTGCTTTGTTTACTGTTTTTATTTTCTGCAGGGCAACAAATAAGACATGTTACCCACCTGATTCTATTCCTCAAGTCTATTTATAATGTATTAATTTATTGTAACCTAGTTAATCACCTGGTTCAACTACTGGGTCTCTTTATTTCTGATACAATATTAAGCCTAATGATCTGTTTGGTCTTCCTGGAACTCTTTAATGCTTAAAAAAACTCAACCCCCCCCCCCCCCCCCAAAAAAAAACAAAAAAAAAACTTTACACTGTTTCATCGCCTTGATACTGTCTGACTGTCTAAGGGTGCTTTCATAAGCGGACCAGTGCTCTTGATTGGTCAGAATTTGAGTGCGGGAAAAAAACAGGAAGTAAACAAGATGTTGAAGAAGAGTACATTTGCAAGATAAATGTGACACTTTCTAATGTCACAATGGAGGGACAACTACACAGGTTGATTTTAGTGCTGGTCATCGTGGACTATATTGCTGTCGTTGTTCTTTTTAATCAAACCATACAGTCTGAAAACGAGGCGCGGCTCCAACTAGAAAACAATGTTTTGATGCATTGGATGTGCTGAATGTGCATATTAAGGCAGTACAGGAGGAGGTGCACATTAATAATCCTCCAGGACTGTAACATGCTCATGTTTAACCCAAACAATGTGTCATGTGACTGCAGTTGGTTTGGATCGAGGTCAGAACACGTTCTCACCACAAACGAACCACACCAGAATTTATTTGTAACCGGACTAAGACCACCTCTTCAAGAAGGTCTTGGTCTGGTTGTTTTGGTATGCTCCCAAGTGTGATTGCTGTGTTTACACCTGCCCAAACGAAGTGCACTTTGGGGGCAAACGAACTTGAGTTTGATTCAACCGAACTAAACCGGCCAGGTGTGAAAGCACCCTAAATTATCTCCGCTAGGCGTAAGCCTGGAAGGGATCATGTGTTTGAGTGTGTGTGTGTGTGTGTGTGTGTGTGTGTGTGAGTGTGTGTATCTGTCTGTCCCCAGCTAATCTTAACTACTACTGGACCAATCTGCCTAATATTTTGTGTGTGCATTTATGACTGTATGCTCAAGGACCTCTCGTGATTGCGGTGATTCATAATTGTTGAACAACCTGTTGTTTATTGACTTTTTTTACTGTTATCGATTGATGACTCCTCACTCCTCTTAAATGGATGGTAGGGGCCACAGGTTTTACAGAAATTGCTCAGCTAAATGCAGAAAGCCTTGCCTAGTCTGTTGCAGGCCACATTTTGGCCTTCATCGTGGCTCAAAAACCGACATCCATAGAAAAGTTAAGTCATGAGTCACATTTTGAACTAGAGCATCAACAGAATAATTTCATAGTTGATGTGTTATCATTTATAAAGTTAGGCACAATATGAGATGAAAAAAGCCCAGTTTTGTTTTTTTTTCCCCGCCATCTCGACTGTAAGGAAGCTGTGTTTTCTTGAGTGGGTGTATTGTCTCAAGTGGACATGGCCAGCTCCAGTGGCTGCCTGGCGGAAATCTGCACTTGAGTCTTCTAAGTACACTTTTCCAATTGTATGAGAATTGCTTTGCTTTTCCACTAAAGATGACCCTTTACCTCTCTTTGGGCTTTCAGAGACCCCTGATTTAAATAACTGTGGTCTGTGTCTGTGATTGATGTTGACAGTATTTTTCATGCAGGATCCCTACCCAATACCAAATTAGTCAGTATGATTTCAGTTATTGCAGTTTTATAACACTTTGTTTCAAATGGTTTGAACCGGATGGACGGACTGACTGGCACACTATACAAGTTTTTGTTTGTCAATAACTTTTGAGCCAGCAAAAGGAAAATATATTTGTTCATGCACAGTCCATATAGCATATAAAATTTGAATAATGTCCTTCTTTGGTTTCACAGCAATGCTTTTTAGTCATTCGTGTATTTTCACACCTTTTTTCTCATGTTCATGCCCAGTTTGGTTTGGGTTATCACTTGACTGCTTTCCTACAAATTAACTTTGAATAAGGTCAGAGAAGAGAAAATAAGTTTGACTTTTGCAGTTATTATTATTCTGACATATCCAGCAGCTGTGGGCAGTGGTCACCTCAGAGGGGGAGCCATGGTGATACAATTGATGCTCTCTATCGTGTCCCCTCTGGTGGAAATAATTGGCGGCCCGTATTACTGTCTTTAAGAGGCCGTGGCACACTCATTCTTTATGCTAGCACAACGGTAGTGGTATCTTGTGAAACAGGACAACCTAAGGTATTCATTGGTACCAATCATGTAGGCATAGCTTGTTGGGAAGGGAACTACATAATGCACCAAATTGTTTGTTAAATTTTGGCAAGGGAACACATGGCATGGTCATTTTCAAAGGGGTCCCTTGAACTCTCACCTCAAGATAGCTGAATAAAAATAGGTTCTATAGTTTCCTTACAATCAATGTACACCTTCAAATTAAGGCTGTATATTTGTCTTTTTAAGCAAAAGGAGAAACAGCATATTTCAAGACCAATTAATCACCTAACGTATAGATCGATAACGCATTAAAAACAGGATTGCTGTGGAAATCAGAATGTTTACTGTAGTGGTATTAGTCTATGCACATCAGATAATTAGTAACATTAATTGTAGAATAAGAGACCAGTATGCAATTCTCTAATTCTCCACACTGACATGGCCTATAAGTGAACTCCTAAAATTAATTTATGGCTTTTGGTTTTGGTGTGCCACCCAAGATTTTCAGTGACCCCATCTGGCCACCCCTATGAAAAATTTCTGGGGACACTTCTAGCTGTGGGACCTCAAAACAAAACCCAATATTAGCCAAACACAGTTATGTCTATATTGTGTATAGAGTACCTCTATTTATATTTTATGCTTGGTGTTATACTGCATATATTTCATGCACTGCTGTGATGTAAATTGCCCTACACTGGATCAATTAAGTTAATCTTAACATGAGTATCAAAATGGGAATCTAAATACATAGCTGTCTTTGTGTGTGTGTACATTATATGTTTGTGTGTATGTGCCTCGAGTTGAGGTGTTCCACCTCTGTGTGCGTGCTTGTAAGAGATGATGTGGTTGTCACACTCCTACTGTTACCTGCTGGGAAACTGTACCCAATGGGCAGATTGACATGGAAATGTAGAGTAGCTTTCCGTCATTGCGCATAATGGTAAAATACCCAAATTCCATGACAAGAGATCATAAACAAAAATGTCTGTAAGTGTGCTGTTACACAGTATGTGTGCGTGTATGTGTATGTGTGTGTGTGTAGCTACAGTGCGGGTGCATCCCATGTACCTGTTTGTGTGCATGGTCGTAGGAGTTGATGTGGTTGTCAAACTCCTGGTGTCTGAGGTACTGCTTGTGACACAGCTCACAGTAGAAGAGAGCCTTCAGATCCTCCACTGAGCAGCCCAAAGCCCTCTCTGCACGCTCCTGGAGAAAGAGAGAGACGGGGAGAACGAGTGAGTGCGTTGGAGGGACAGGGGGGAGAGAAATGAGAGAGAGTCGAGATAGAGGCATAAACAGACAGAGACATAACGGGTTAGAGGGGCAGAGAGGAGTTGGGGGGTGGGGGGTTGAAAGAATGGCAGATTGTTAGCCATTTAGAACAAATCTGCATCCCAGAGACATCAGCAGTAATAGCCTCTACATGTGCTCTGCATAAAACTGTTAAACGGCTTCCCATTAAAGTATGCTGCCTTTGCTGCTGCTGCCGGAGGTTGGACAAAGGCACTCAAGCCCTGTGCTCATGGCAACTTGAGCCTGGGGACACATTTAATACAGCCACTGTAATAGAAACCTGCGTATGTACTATAATGGCAAATAGTCTGAGTCTGACTGCAGAGAGAGTGGCAATTGTGGCCGACAGACAGAAAAACTGAGCATCTAAAATGCACAACTTAGTCTTTTGCACACTGGCAAAAGCGTGCATGTGAAGAAAGTTCCAGACAAATACACACACACACACACACACAAAGGCGCGTAAATAGCACATGGACAGACAGATACACATGCACTGCGCAAATGGCACATGGACCTCAGGGGATAAATCGCTTGTCTGCATGCTCACATCAGCCAGAGGGCTTTTTATTTTTTATTTTTGGTCCGAGGACATGCACAGTGTTGTGTACAAAAGATGTGTGTGCTTGCTTGTGTATATGTGTATATGCGTGCGTGTGTTCAGGGGTGTGTGTGTGTGTGTGTGTGCATTCATGCCATGCTCTGCTTCAGAATGTAATTTCCCTGAGGCTAGGGGCTGCCAATAAACACTATTGAATTCTGTTCTACACTGACATGATGGGAATTTAATTTGAGGTTGTCACTTCTTTCTCTCACTCTCTATCCTCCTCTGCTTCTTTCCTTCTCTCCGTCCATCTCCTGGCTCTCTCTCCCTCTCTTTGCTAGCTCTCATGCTGTCCAAGCCGCTTTTTTTCCCCCTCCTGCAACTTGCTCTTTTTCTTCCTTTCCTTTATCTCCCCTTTTATCCCCTCTATTTGCCTTTTTCTCTCTGTCTCGCTTGTTCCTTTTCTGTTTGGTGAGCCCTGGGTCATGCAGTGACAGAGTCTATTGGCCCCAATTTGCTTCAGTAATATGCCTGCACACAGGAACAGAGGTGAGAGGAAAAGAGAGGGAGGATAGGAATGCAGGCAAGAGGAGAAATGACCCCTGCTTGCCCTCGCAGACACACACACAGGCACAAACACCTTGCATTATTACTACCACAGAGTCTTGCAATCCCTGTTGTTCATGCCATCACTTTTCACACACACATAAATGCTACATCGAGGTAATATTTAACCACACACACAGACACACACATACAGGAGGAAAAAAAATGGTCCATCCTCTGGCTAACTCCTTCTGGTTTTCAGTCAGAATGGGTGAAAAGGATTGGAGGTCGAAGGAGCAGGCTGACACCTCTATAATAAAATAAACAGAGAGGTAACTAATATACATTGATCCTGTGTTGCTTTGTGTGTGTGTGTGTCATAGTATCGATCTATGCACCAGGAAATGATCCAATCACCTAGTGCGGCCTTCATTTGAGTACTGCCAGAGGGATGAGATTGAGATAATTAATACTGTGTAGTTGTCAACATTTGGCCTTATGTAAGATTACACAGGGGCTCTGTATGTGCATGCCTTCACATACTCATTATACATGTGAACATGTGTATATTTTTTCTGTGTGCTTGCCTTTGTACCCCCTAACCCTCTCTTCTCACCTCTCTGCATTCTGTCAGGGTAATTATTTTGAAGAGGAGAAAATATATACAGAGAGAGGGGCGTATGTACATGAGAGAAGGTGTGAATGCATGAAAGCAGAAACTGTGTGTGTGTGTGTGTGTGTGTGAACTCAGGAGCCATTTGTTTATGTCGGTGGCATCCTGACACGCCATTACCCACCCTCCTGCTGCACACTAAAATCAAACATGTTTACCCTAAATGTATACACTTCATACGATTTCTGCGCTTATGCACCGGTGCTGAATGCATAGACACAAGCACACACACACACTTATGCATGCACAGTCGCACACAGTCTGTCAACCTGATATACCAGTGCTAAATTAATCTAGACCTCAATTTACCTCACTAGCATAAATCTGTTTGCAGAGAAAGCATGACTGATATCTGCAGACCTGAATGGACGGTGATTGTTTGCATGATTATATGTGTTTGTGTGACGCTGTGAATGTGAATGAGTTTCCGTGCTTTTTTTTTTCTCTCTCCCCTTTTTGCTTATCGTCAATTTGTGGGAGAAGTGCTGTGTTATTCCTCTTCATAGCTGAAATTATGCTACAAATAAGAGTCGTTATGAACCATAACCGGAGTTTTAGGCACACACACACACACATGTAATTCAATGTCTCGAGCCTCTATGGAAATGAACAGGTCACGCTTAAAGTGTTTTACACATGTGGTCTGTCAGCGTTTGAAAATTTGTGCACTGAAAAGTAATGATATACAATGTATTCATGAAAAACTCCTCAGAAAGACAAAGTCCCTTGAGGAAGCTCTGGGAGTTCTGCAGACTGAAGCTGTGGTGGCACCTCTCTGATGCAATCTCCCTGTCACAGCCACCGTACCCATTCAAACTTGCCCTCACGGTTTTTGTCTTGTTTTTTTGTGGAGGGGATCTCTGACTTTTATAGTGTGTTAAATCAGAAATGACATCCTTATTAGTTGGAGGCATGCTGCACAGAGACTTATGGAGATTTCAAATAAGCATAACTAAAAGCTTTTCAGAATTCTCTCTCTGGTGATCTTGACCTTCAAGACTGCTGATCTGCACAGAAAATCAAAGACACCTTAGATAATATGCTTATCACTGTCATAACCTAGCTCTTACTAACATCTTGAGAGTAAGCTGACTGCAGGTGGAACCTCAAGGTCAGAGAGAGGCTGCATTTTTCTTTGAATTTGATATTATCCTGTCCATCAACTACTTTTTAAAATGCACTGTCTCTTATTAAAGATAGCGGCCCACTAAATAATAAGCTGCAATACATATGTGACAACCATTTAAAGGGTCACCCTGATATCCAATATACATACTTTTCCTCTTATCCATGGTGCTTTTTATCAGTCTAGATTCTTCTGGTGTGTGTTATCGAGTGTTAACCAAGATAATTGACAGACCTCGTTGTGAGCAGGTTCATGTAGGAATTGTTTTCTTCCTACCAAACTACACCTGCCAACTGCATCACTTCACAGAGACAAGTGTGCATGCACGGAAGAATTACTGAACGAGTCTACCAGGCACAGGGCTGGGGGACCCACAGTTTAAAGGGGGCCCTCTGGCTCTCAACTGCAAAATGTCACCCAAATTAACATGTACGGACCACAAAGAGATTAAAAAAGACCAAACAGAGATACAAAGAAACTGCAAAGATACACAGACTAACTACAAAAAGGAGCAAAACAAACCAACCCGGTCTCATTCCAAAGTCATTAAAATTCGGCCCTCGGGTAGTGATTTGCGTTGTCAGACACTGAAGAATAAAGTCGTCCTTAAATGTCGACTTGATACACGGCTGGTTGCTGTTATAATTCATTGGCACTCAGCGGCGTCAGGGGGAAACGCTTCTGAACAAGAACGAAAGTTAAGGCACTGAAAGTCGGAGTGGGACGGGCGGGAGGGACGGTGGATGGGTCCAACAAAAACCAAACTTTACCTGGGAGAGCGGTGTTTGTGTCCTGTAAGATTATAAAGCCAAACCCTGTTCTTTTTTCCTAAACCCAACCACATATTTTTGTTGCTTAAGCCTGGCCATGTGCGTAAGTTATTGGAGGAACAAAAAAAATATCAATTTGTGATGTTGTACTGACATAGTGCGTCTATTTTGAAAGAGAATGTACGTAAACTGTGAACTTCCTGTGAAAACTGAGGTGTTTTTTGAACGAAGACAATGCATGTAACAGGCAGATCTTGACCTGGCGTCCCAGAATGTCAACAACCAACGCACCCAGGGTACCTTGCACATCATATCAGAATGTGGAAAGTTCATGACCAAACATCAATATGTGGCGAGGTCAGAGTGAGAATGTGTTGAGCAATTACAAAGAGACACTAAATTACCTCAAAGACACACAACATGACTATAAAGAGCCACAAAACCAGAAAAAAATAGCAAAACAATGACACAAAAAGAGGCTAAACAACTATAAAGTGTATGTCTTGCCTCTATCTAGGAATGGCTGTGGGGCCTTTTGCACTTCTCTGCCCAGCTGCCCATTGTCTGACAATATGCCCTTGTGTGCATCTACTGTCGGCTCACCTAGCACCACTGAGCTGTTTACATCTCGCTCTGCCTTGAGCACGAGCCTCTCAGCTACCAGTAGATGCATGCTTCCTTTTGTTTGGTAAGAGAAAATAGTTCCTACATGAAACTGCTCACAACAAAGTCTGTGGATTATCTTGAGTAACCGGGTCATGATTTCTGGAAAGAGACATTACTGATGAGTTTTAAATGTATATTTTTGTTGCTTTAAGCACCACAGACCAAGTGCCATCTAGTTCCATTATATCAAAGAGAAGGCCGACATCTCCAACACTCAACTACTCTCACCAAAACAATCTAGATTAATACATAGCCCTACAGTTAAAAGGAAAAATGATATACTTTAATTTTGGGGTGAACCATCCCTTTAAAACACGTTCAAACATTTTGTGTCGACAGATTTTCATAAGAGTCTGTGTAAGTGGTCATGAAATTTTAAACAGCAAACAGCGAATATGGCAGAAAACACTTTGAATAAAACTTACTTTAATGCTCAGAGTGATAAAGCTAGTCCACATGCAGAGGTTATGTGCAGTGACTTGAATATGTTCATTGCTGTTTTAATTTTTGCTTAATTTGTTATGATTTCTTCAATTACATTAAAATAAAAAATTAAAATAGTGTACAGACACCGCCCAGCTAAATTGT